AAATACATATATGTATTTACTAAACTGCTCTCTTTTTCTTCTCTCTCTCTCACTCTCTCTCTCTCTCTCTCTATTGCATAACAATTATTTACGTATATGAAAAATATTTGTATAAATCAAATAAATTAATTTTAAAACAAATATAAATATATCTATCTATAAATATATCTCTTTATTTTAAGGTACTTTTAAGTATGTTTTTAATACACTATAAAGTCAGTAAGTTTAAGCAAAGGAGATTGTTTTCTAATACATAAATATTAAAACTTTATAAAAACATTAGATACAATATAGCTCACAAAAATAATAATTCAAAAATAATTTTGATTTTTTCCGAAATTATCGAAATTACTTCTGTTTACTGCAATTAAATATATTTTTTATAATACTTTTCGCGATGAGACGTATAAAGCAAAGTCGTGTGTGCGCAATGAAATCATATCACTCATATTTCAGGACAATTGCGTGACATACGGAGAATAGAACGAGAAAACGCACTTGGAAAACAGTTCACTGAACTTATTCTATTGCACTGATAAGGTATTATTTAAAGAAGGCCATCTTTATCTCCATCTTATGGAAGTTTTTGATAAAATTGGGGCAACTTGATTGTAAATAGTATTAATTTAATATTAACTTTATTTTTATTATTATCTTGATTTTTTTAGACGTGTATCTTCAATATAAAGATATTTGATTTTTATTTGCATTTTGTTATTAACTAGATTTGATTATCTATGCGACTCATGATTAAAAAAAAATGCAGTCTCGCAACAATATGCAATGTATGCAACATATTTATAATGTAATAATATTCAGGAATATTATTACATTATAAATATGTATGCTTATTTATAAAGCATTTGTATAATAATAAATTATGAATTTAAAATATATTTTAAGCTAATAATTCAAATATTTATATTGACGGTTTAATGTATAATAATAATCAGTAATATCTTTATGTTTTAATTATTTTCGGGCTCATCGCTAATTCTGGCTGTTTTTAATATTTTGATTTACTGTAAAACATATTTTAGCTAATGCTAAAAAATATATATGCTTATTGGTATTGATATATGAGATATATTAAAAAGAGTAACAAAACTATTTTAATATTAAATATCATTTCTCTTCTCTACATTTAATATTAAAATATCATTTTCTCTCTCTATTAGCC